GTGTGTGTGTGTGTGTGTGTGTGTGTGTGTGTGTGTGTGTGTGGTAGAGGCGGAGAGAGAGAGAGAAGAAGCGGCGGACTTGGAAAAAGGCCCACACGCACACACACATATATATACACTTCCTCACGGGCGCCACGCAGGTAAAAAGAGCAAAAAACAAAACGAAACAAGAATGAGTGGGGGAGCAAAAGAAAAAAAAAAAGAGGCAAGAGGATGTTTCTCTCTCTTTCTCCTAGGCACTGTCTCTCTCTGTCTCTCTCTGTCTCTCTCTGTCTCTGCCCACCACCGGCTCCCCTCGCCAAAACTACGGGGCGAGGCGCGGTTTGTAGTGCGTGACGAAGCGCCGCACCACCTCGATAATCTTCTGCTTCGCCGCGCCGTACTCCTGCACCACCGCCTCATCCGCCTCGGTCTCCTTCCGCAGGCTGCCGTTCTCCCACAGCTGCAGCTTGTTGTTGCCGCGCTCGGCGAAGTGGTAGAGGCCGCAGCCGTGCTTCACGTCCTCCTTGTAGGTGCCAACGAAGTACTCCGTCTCCGCCGCGTTGAAGTAGTAGACCCCCACGCCGTGCATCTTGCCGTCGCGCCAGTGCCCCACGTACTTCTTCCCGCTCTTGCCGATCACGTAGACGCCCCAGCCGCTGTGCCGGTTTTGCTCGAACTCGCCGTCGTAGCTGTCGCCCTCGGGGTGCACCCAGTAGCCGACGCCGTGCTTCTTGGTGCCGTGGTACTGCCCCGTGTAGGTGGCGCCGGAGGGGAACTGGAAGGTGCGCACCTCCGACGGCGGCGGCGGCGCGCCGAGCTCGCGCGGCGCCACGCGGCGCACCGCGGCGATGAGCTCCTCCACCTGCAGCTCCCCGTTGACCCGCTGCAGCGGCGTGGCCTCCTCCTCGCGCCGCAGCACCCCCTGCTCCCACACCTGGGCGGTGACGACGCCGTTCTCGTAGCAGTACAGCCCCCGGCCGTGCTTCTTGTCCCGCGCGTAGCCGCCGACGTAGTAGGTGCCGCGGTCCGGCGTGAAGTAGTACACCCCGGCGCCGTCCATCTCCCCTGCCCGCCAGTGGCCTATGTAGCACTTGCACGGGCCATCGAAGCGGTAGATGCCGAGTCCCTCCTGCCTGTTGTCGACGTACTCGCCCTCGTACGTCTCGCCCTGCGGGTGGTGCCAGTGGCCGCGCCCGTGCCGCTTCGTGCCGGCGAACGTCCCCTCGTACACCGCCCCCGACTTGTACGTGTGGGTGGTGGTCGGCTCCTGCTGCTCCTGCTGCTCCCGCGGCAGCGCCGCCGGCGCCGCCGGTGCCTCGCTCGCCATCAAGCTTCGGGGTCTCTCCGCCGGCGGAGGTCTACCGGCAACAAACAAACAAACTACTCAGCGCCCTACGCGTTCGTAACCAGCGAAAGGGACGCGTGCGCGCGTCTCTCTCTCTCTCTCTCTCTCTCTCTCTCGCTTTCTCGCTTTCTCTGAGCGTGCGGCGGATATCGTCTGCTCCCTCTCACCCCACCCTCGTCTCTCCTCTAGGCAGTTATGTATGTATGCACACCGGTGCACTATTCGAGTCTGTGTGTGTGTGGTGTGTTTCCCCCGTGGGCCTCGCACGACGTGCCGCTCTCTACGCAACTTACAACCCGCAGAGAGGCAGAAAACCGAAGGGACGCCGCACAGACGCGTGCGTGTGGGGGAAAAAAAGGAGGAGAAGTGTTTAGGGGGAAGCGCACAAAATTCCACGGCGCACACCGTACAAAACAAAAACAAAAAATATATAATAATAATAATAATAAAAGTAAAGGCAGAAAACAAAACAAAAACAAAAACTGGAGAGTCTACCCGGGGCCCCTGCGCCTACACACACCCGCCCACCCACACACACACACACTCAGAGAGACAGACAGACGCATGCGTGTGTGTGTGGGTGGGTATATTTATATTACTCTCGCTCGGGGGTGCCTGCGTGCTTCGGGCGCACGCGCACGCGCCTCCTCCCCCTCCCCTACTGGGCGACCTCGCTGGCGTCCTTCACGTCGTAGGCGCCGGCCACGACGAAGCAGTGGGACTGCATCGAGGCCTGCACCTTTGGCTTCTCGAAGAAGTAGACGGAGCCGTCCTGGCGATAGAAGACCACCTCGTCGATCTCGTTGAAGGGCGTGACGCCGAGGCGCTTCAGCACCGACTGCACCTTCTTCTCGTCGCCGGTGTTGCGGTGGGCCGCCTTGACGGTGCGGCGCACGGAGCCGCGGCCGCCAGTGCGCACGAACTCGGCGCGCTTGCGGAGAGTCTCTTGCGTGATGCTGGGCATTGGAACTCGGGAGTGAAACTGGCTCGCTGGCAACGGGTGGGTGCGTGCGTGCGTGTGTGCGACGGAGAGAGAGAGAGAGAGGCAGGGAGGGGGAGGGAGGAGACAAAGAAGAAGAAGAAGAAGAAGAGGAAGGGGCGGCAGTGAGGAGCAGAGACGCGCGGGGACCCCGCGTGCAGCGGCGCGGATGCAACAA